GGCAGTTTTGCCTTGAGCAGAAGACAAACATTCTCAATTTTGTTCACTTCATTACTAAATTGAAGAATGTCCAGTCTTAGCCTATCTTTAGTCCGGTAATACAACTATCATTAAAATAGTATGTCAGGACAAATTGGACATAAAGCCCTTGAAGAAAATAATCAAACTTGCACAAACAAATTATACTGTGTGGGACAAATGACAGACACCACGGTCACTCACATGTCTTACACATATGAGTAATCATCATGGGAAGACAATAGGAGAAACCACTTAGCTGGTTTAGTAATTAATGTGGAAGGTCATAAATAGAGAGTACTGAACGTTTGTGATTTTTGAAAAAATCATTTTTTATCTGGATTTTCTGAATATGTCAGAAACAACAATTTTCCTCAAAAACAAATACATTATGTGTTTGTTGTGTGTAGAACACTTCATTTCAAAATGATTGGCTTCCAGAAATGCGGTTGTATACATTTGAGTTCTTGTAACCAAGATTTCAGCAACCTACCATGTCAGCAGCTTTCTTAAAGTACTGAAGGGCTGTTTCATTGCTTTGAGGTACAATATCACTTCCTTCTGAATACATCTATAAAAACAAAACATAACTTAAAGTTATTAAGAGTCTAATTTTATAAAAAAAATATTTATTCTTTGGCATAAGATCTGGCCCATTTAACGCAGAACTTCTTTTAATTATACTGAGATTAATAAAAACCATAATAATTTCATTTAAAAGTTGTTTAAATGTAAAACAATTTTGTATAATTGTTTTAGTTGATCAATGCATGTATCATTACAGGATCTTAGAAGAAAGATCCTTCTTTCGAGAGAAAGAACAGCCTATTGTCCTTTCTGCTAAGATTCCTTTTGGCTTGATCTAATGGAGACATCCAATAATGGACTAATATTCCCCTCTCATTCTGGAAGCAAGATTTGCATGATCCAGATTTGCCTCTAGGATCGGTTTTCTTAGTCTAACAACTTTTATTTTGTGATGGGAAAAAACAAGTGAAGGGTCCATTAAAAAAGAAAGAGAAGGGAGAAAAATCTCCTTTCAACCCATGTCTCAAAAACTACAGTGCAGAAGAAACAGCATCTCTGTATCTATGTACACTTTCCTGCAATTGTTAAAGGTCAGCCAGCCATTGATATTTTAAGATGTAATTCTGAACACCTGTTTCATCAAACTAATAGAATTCTACAATAAATGTGCAATATTCTTCTCTCAATTTAGTATAAGAAAGTATCCAATAATAAGATGTACCTAGGTAAATCTCAACTCTTGGGAAGTGGCTGAAAATACTATGGAGAAAAGTATGTCAGATTTTCTCCAGAAAATTGTCTTAATCACAATTAGACAATGTGTGACTTATTTGATAGACCAGTAAAATCTGAAGATACGTGAAGGTTTCTACCATAACAGCAGCATAAAATTGACTCCTATGGTTAAATTAGCAGTCTTTTTCTCAATAAAGTAATCCTTTCAATCCTCTTTTAGAGTCTAAAAGAAATTATGAATAAAATTAAGTGTATCAGAGTCATGAAAGTAAAGTAAGCTTAGCAGACACAGTACCAGAGGTGGTATTCAGCAGGTTCTGACCAGTTCTGGAGAACCAGTAACGGAAATTTTGAGTAGTTTGGAGAACCGGGAAATACCACCTCTGACTGGAGAGTTTACAGTATCCTTCCCCTGCCATACCCACCAAGCCCACAGAATCAGTAGTAAAAAAATTTGAATCCCACCACTGCACAGTACCCCCTGCCCCAATGGTGGTTGGTTGTTCTCTGTGGGACATACCCATCTTGTGGTCTGAACACCTTAACTGGTTTACATAACCTCACTAATCCTGCAAAGCTCAGTAATGGCAGACCTAATTGATACTTATGAGGACTGCAGACCATTCATAGCAGCATTGAAAAGAAATTCCAGAACAACTTGTGAACTATTTCTGTATTTTTGTCAAGAAAACTATTTGAAGGTGACTATGAAGTCATACAAGTTGAGCTTGACATGAAAGTAAGGTTAGTTTTCAAGGTTTTAAAAAGGAATTACACACAAGTCAGAAGCAATAACATTGATATTTCCATCCCAAACTGAGGTCCTAGATTATGCAAGTAGATTGTGAAAAGGTTGGGTTCCCCCATTTCATACCCTCATTACATAAATGGATAATTTATGCATATATAAAACTGTGAATGTGGGTTAAGTACAGAAATCTACTGCGTAGATTTTGTCGATTATATCTGGTTTTGTCCATTATACCTGAATTTTGATAAACTGAAGTACAGAGTTTAGTGTGAAGTTTTGAAGAGGGATCTTGACTATCTCCTGAATAATAATGTATGTGGCAACTATAGTCAGGACAGATAGGATTTGTAATTTGTAATTATATTATTTTGGTTTACTTGGACTTTGTATAAAATACCAATTCTAGAAAAATGTTTATGGCAGCTAAAGCTGTTCCCTAGATGGCCTAAGAAGGTTTAAGCCTTCTTCATTCTCTGTTGAAGTTATAATATCAGACACTGCTTTTCACAGGAATATTTAAATAGACAACCAGACTGACATTTAGCCATTTCTTATTTTCTATAGCAATAAATCCTTTGACTGTAGTAGTAAAACAAAAGGTAATTTCCAAACACACAACTCAAAGACAATTGTGCCTTACCTTCCCCAAAAATGCCATTGCATGTGAGTTGCCAGCATTAGCTGCTTGGTTGAAGTATTCAAAAGCTCTCTGGAAGAGAAAAAGAGTAGAAATATAAATATGTGACAATAATTTTTAATATAACACCTGACATTCATTCATTTGTTTAAAAATCTGCATTAGATTTGCATTAGAGCAAATCTAATCTGTTTGTTTAAAATCTGCATTAGAGCAATAGATACTGTATACCAGTTTTATATAGCTGAATATACTAAAATGTGCACATTCAATAATTATTTCACTTTTTACATGCTAGGGAAGTATCGTTTGTTTGATAGCCTATCCATATCCTGAGTTATTTGAAAGCAATTCCACTGTGATAAATAGTGCTTAATTCCAAGTAGGCATATCTTCAATGCACAATTTTTGATCCATCAAAATCATGACTTGAAATCTTCATTTTAATTAGCTGAAGAGTGTAAATTATGACTATTACACCATTTTACAACATGATTTTATGAACCCTTGGTATCAGTTTAGCAGAGTAGGCCTGGCCAACACACTATGAGAATGAAGGATGTAGAGGAACAAGAAGGTGTTATTCTATTTCAGAGGTATTATTTTTAAATGTTCTTCAATAGAAGCAATTCCTATTGGTACAGTAGCAATGCAAGGGGAATGAGAGCTGACAAGAAGCTGTTTGCTTTATTACTAACTATAAGTTTATAGTAAATAAATTTAATAGAATTATGTTAAACAATATATTTAAAGTTATCATCTTAGAACTGTATTATATTTTAAAAATACCTTAGTTTATTTTAGTTGCTTTACTGAGATTTTGATTGCATCATTCCAGTAGCATTTCTCAAATCTGATAGCTTTAAGACATGTAGTCTTCAACTTCCAGATTTCTGGGATTTAAGGTACATGTATCTTAAAGTTCCAAGGTTGAGAAACACTGCTTTACTTAATGTAGAATTTATTTATTAAATTTCTGGCCACAGGCATAGTCTATACCTCCTTATTTAATATCAAAATCGAATTTTTCTCTTATGTGAATTGGTCATCTTGAATTCCTACCAGCATTGTTAATAACTTTTGCTGCTTATTCAAGCAAGTGAACATCATCTTCTACCCTTCTGCATAAACTTTTCAACATAAGTCCATACAGAACAAGTTGCAACAGGCAATATGGGATGTATTCGTGAGCTGCAGTAAATGCATGCAGATCAATGTCAGGTATGAAGTATGCAATACAAGACATTTGTAACTAACTGGAATTTGGCTCCTTGTGCATTGACCACACTAAACACTGAAATACCTTCTAGATCTCTCCTGTTACATTAAGAAGACAGCTCTTGCAATAAATAACTTTTCAATTACAATTTCATTTTACAAGTTAAATGTACCAACATCTTATGTATTGCCCTACAGATACCTGATGATTTTGCTCTACTCCTCTTCCTCCATGCAGGTGCAATTGTCCAAGTCCTACCTGCAACAGTAGTTCAAACATGTTATTCAGCTTCCTATCAAGAAAGCATGAAGCATACTCTGAAGAAAAGGAGTATTAGAATGTACACAATAAAGGGACAACCTCCAAATCAAGAGGTGAAGGAAATATTTTAAAGAAAAACTGCCCTATTGCAATTTTTAAAAAAACAGTAATTTCATCTCAAGATTGATGAGATTCAATCCTTGCTAGGTTTTGTAAAAACTAATGGCGACAGGGCTTTGACACCGTCAGGTGGCAAATAAATGTAATAAATACATATCAGCCCAGGCTGTCTCCTCAGATTATTAATCAGGCTCTGCAAAAGGGTACTTTAGAACAATCAGACTGCTCATGAGATGCTTGTCACCAAATGCATCTTTTTTTCCTGAACTGTACTATAACTATGGCAGGCAGCCACACAATTGGGAGAAAAGATACAACTGCCTTAAATTGCCTAAAAGTACATGATCTTCCAGTGTAATGAAGAACATTTTCCCCTCAGATCCAAAGTACAGCACAGCCATGCATCCACATGAAATTACCCCCTGTATAGTAAAAAATAATCAGGAAAAAAATCCTTACATTTATCCCAAACATCTAATTTTTTGCTGATTAACATTTCTTTATAACAATCCAAAACAATAAAAGGTGGGCAATGAGAACAAGGCAACACTCTGTACTCCAAAAATAATCAAAAGCTGATGAGCAATACTGGTTGTTATCATGAGAGTTCTCTAATAATATTTCATAAGGTATTGCTCATTACAGTGTTCTGAAATGTTGATTTGGAAATCATGTCTTTGCTAGCCTGTGTAAAATAATGCCATGCAACCACAGCTCACTATATTAAGTTTCAGGACAGAGAATGCACAAATTAGTTTTAGCAAAAACTAAATCGAAATGACTCATAGAAGTACTCCTAGAATTTTGTAGAAAGGAAAGGAAAATACTCTCCCAGCTTTATTTTGAAAATATAGTATGCTCTACAACCAACCAAGCTGCCTTTTTAAAAACTTTGGAGGAACTCACATTCTTCAAAAAGCTCCTTTAAAAAATGTTATATCTAAAGAGTATAGTTGAGTATTCCCTAATTTGCCTTCTGATAAACTCTCACCATTCCAA